GCAGCCGAGGCATGGGGCAGATTTGGGAGGCGGGGCACTGGTCCCAGCTGTGTGCCATCCGTCAAGGTGAGGACTGGAGGGCAGGGAGCCCTCGCTGTGCCCCAGCCTGCAGCTGCACACGTGGGCACGAAGAGAAGACAGAGCTCCTTAGGCCAGACCCCTGGCAGGGGGCCTGGGGCTCCTGAGAGCTGCTTTGGAAGCACCACTGCCTCCTCCTGCTTCCCGCCCGCCGACCCACCCGAGGTCAACATCCAGCACGCAGCTCCGGGCCAGGGCATCTCGGGGACACCCGGGTCACCACTCCCAGTGCCCTGCCAGACAGGGAGTGGAGCGGTGTGGCAGAGGGCAGCCAGGGCCATCCCTCCCTTCACCAGGCCTCACTCCTGCGGCGAACTTCTTCCCTGCTTCCCCTAGGAATGGACCCCACTCAGCTAGAGAACCCCTCACAGAGCCCTCAGACCAGCCTCAACACCCCTCGGAGAGTCCCCAATTCCTGGCAATACCTTACCCCCTGCCAGGTTCCTGGACCCTCCTCCACTGTACAATGATGTAGCGGGCATGAAGGGGCTCTTTCTTTTTTTCTGAGTCTCTCGTCCTCTCGTTACCCAGCACCCACATAGTAGTGGGGGGTGGGGTGCGGTGGAGACTGGGCCACCGAGGACAAGGGTGCCTTACCTGCCCAGCCAGGCCTCACCCTCCAGTCCACTCTGCTCCAGCACAGGCCCCACTCTGCTGACCCCAGGACTTTTGTATGTGCTGAGCCCGCTTGCTGCCTAGGACCCCTCTACTGTGCCTTCTGGGCACCCGACTTCTCGGCTGCCTCCGTCAGCCCTCAGAGGCCATCCCCCTGGCCCTCCACAGGTTCCAGGCTGGTTTGGGCTTCTGGGAAGGGACTCTGGGCACAGGGCCCAACCACCTGTCAGGTGGAACTCGCTATGCCAGTGTGGGGTGCAGATTCCATCGCCAGATGAAGGGGCCTTGGGCTGCTTCATGCACCATCCTCTCACCCAACACCCTCAAATATATTGAGGTGCCTACCAGCCTGTGTGTGCCCTGTGTTCTGCTGGTGCCAGTCACCAAGCAACCAGGAGGGTAACTTGGGCCTCACACACCTTGTTACCACCTGAGAGTGGCGGGTTCCTGCCTCTATCAACAAAAAGATGGGGCCCTCCTCCACGCTGGACCCTGATCTTCTCAGACTAAGCCTCTTGATTAAAGCCTCCCTGATCATCCAATGCTGGCTATGTGTTTCCCCCCCCCTACTCCCAGCACCAGTGTTCATCACAGCCCCCACCCTGCTCTACTGTCCACCTTGTTCCCTGAGTGGCTTAGAGGTCAGGGGATGCCTCTCCTGTCAGGGCCTCAGGGTGCAGGGGAACCCACAGGGTGCTGAGCGCACAGCTGTCCCAGCCAGACTTCCCCATGTGCCTCCTACCTCACCTTCCCAGCCCACAATTCTAGGGTGGACCAGCTGGTGGTGGAGAGGGCATGGGGGCCCAGCCCACTGTATGCTGCCCAGGCCAGCTGTGAGGGACTCCCAGGATCCCAGTAGGTGGCTGAGCCCAGGGAAGTGCATAGGGGACCCAGGCGCTCGAGTCCAGGGAAGTGCATAGGGGACCCCAACCAGGCCACGTCCACCTGGCAGGGCATGGGGACGGCTGGCTTGCTGAGGCTGGGGCTCCAGGACCAGTGCAGGAGAAGTTGGCCCTGCCCAAGGGGGGCCACAGAGACCTTGAATGCAGGGAGGGCAGCCTTCACAGGGGATACACGGGGCCAGTCCTCCTGGGGACATCTGCTGAGAGTACTGGCCAGTGTGGCAGCCACCAAGCGCAGCGATTTTTATACAATGCCGGGGTGGGTTTGAGCCGCCCCTCCGAAGGGGGCAGTGCCAGAGAGACGCCTTTGTCTCAGGCTACACGGTCGTTGTCCCCCCCACTCCCACCCCCGCCCACCCTTTGGCACCTGAGCAATTTTGTTGAGGCTCTGGGACGAGAGGCCATGTTGGCCAGCCCTGCTGGATGCCTCAGTGGCACTCCTGCCCTTGCCGGGGGGGCCCCCAACATGCCCCTGCCACCATCTTCAGCACCTCCAGCCAAGCCCACCAACTGCCTCCCTGGATCATTAGGGGCCCCAGCCCGGCTGCGAGTCTCAGACAGGCAACTCAGCCTGTGAACTGGACATGCCGCCGCCGTGCCCTGAGTCAAGAGCCCTGGGGGAGCCCAGGCCGAGCGGAGCCCAGCTGAGCGGCGGCAGCACTCAGATGCCACCCACCTCCCTCTATAAATAAACCTGTGTAGGAGACACGGCTCACCCAAAGAGTTCTCGCGCAATTATATTTTTAAAAAGCCAAGCAGATCGATTGGGACGGGGCCGCCCTGGGGGCGCCTCTACTCCAGGTGGATGCCAACCTGCAGTGACATCAGAGCAAGAGGGGTTCCTGGCGCCAGCGGCCAGGAGCGTGGACTCGCGGGAAGCCACAGGCCCGCAGGCCATTGGCTTGAGTGAGCAGG